GTTTTCCTGTGCCACGTGTCCCACTGTGAGATGCGTTTTTCTTACTGGGTTGGTGTGTATTTGTAATTCATGCTGTCAAGGACTTTTTGTGTCAAGTCTTGTCTTGTTTTGGCTTTTCAATTGGGAACACTTTGCTCAGGCTTTTTTTTTTTAATATATCTTGGCTTCTGTGAAGTAGGATTTTTATTTTTTTTAAGATAGACATTTTTAGACAAATACATTTAAGAACAAACTGTTGAGTTGTTTTCAGTTTAGTCTGAAAATTAAGAAATGGCTATATGCCTGCTGTAAATGGATGTAGATGATAGAGAAGGACAGTATCCCTGTAATAAAAGGTAGAGAAATGCCTCCTGCATATGTAACGAGTGTTTAAAGGGTGAAATTACCTTGCTGATGGTGAACTCTAAACTTAGTCTAGTGACAGAATCACAATCTGACATACTAACTACAGAGGTAGCTGTTATCCTGAACCTATATGAGAAAAGCAAGGTATTAAAAAAAACAACAACGCTCTATAGGCAGGTGTATCATCTTTTGTATGTGTTGAACATGTTCTGATCAATTACTGTTTATGCTGTGATAGTTAATTTGTGTTTTAATTGCTTAATGTTTTCACTATGATGGTTAATTTGTAGTTTAAAAACTGGGCATGGCTTCTATAAGCAGTGTTGAAATTTTAATGTCTAATTACAATCTGAACCAAACAACAGCTCCAAATAATGGAGGTGAGTCTCTTAATATTGACGAGGTACTGTTTCTTTAACTGCATATGCAATGTTTAATAAGATTTTTTTTTTTTGCCTGTTAGTTCCCAGGTAAAGATACAAGGTTGCCCTGCTGGTTTTGTTGTGTTGATTTAGTGAATTAACAGGAACCAGATTCACTTCCAGACAGTTGGAGAGGGAACTGGCTGAGTGCAGGGGTGTGAGGGGCTGAACGACAGTAGCAGCATTGTCTGGACAATCTCTGTTTGCAAGTAGAGGTATGCAGTGTATCATCATTTATCTATTTTTGGTCTTCTCCAAGAACGACTTTATCAGCAGTGGGAAATGTAGTGGGCACATAGGCAGTCTTAACTGTAATGTTAATAACTTAAATAGTTATGCTATTAAATAGCTTATGTTTGTGAAAACCATGGTAGCCAGCTATTGAGCAAGCTGTAGATAAGGTAGCCAGAAGCAGTTGGTGGCAAATAACTAACTTGAGAAAATATGGTTACATAACATTTTATTTATAGTAGCAACAAATAGAGAATGTAAAGAGGATACAGTAGAAGGTATAAAGAGAGCAGAAAGAGGCTAGGAGGGATAGAAAATATTTGACTATTTCAGGATGGTATTTTAAAAATTTAAGCATTAAAAGATAGTTTGGATTCGGTACAGGTCAATCCTTTGACTTGGCTTCTCTCAGAATACCTTGTTTACTCAACTGGTTTAAATGGTTAACAAGTGAAAATGGTCACCTGAAAGTGCTAGAATGCATTATGAAATAAAACTGATTTTAACAGCACAAAGCCTTTGGATTTCAAGAAACTTAACAAATGAAATATTGTATTAGATGGGGACTTTTGAGATAGATAAGATTGGAGAAATATAATCTACAATTTTAAGCAACACAGAAAGAAGTAGGACTGTAGTAAATAACCTGCATTATAAGGGTAGCATTGAAGAGCTTAGTGCAAGGTGGAGGTTTCCTGGGTATGTTGCCAACTAAAAGGTCTGTCCAGGCTTCCCTCCAGCTTGCTTTAAATACAGTCCTAAGAAATAAAAAGGAGACAAACTGAGGCAAGAATGTGAGCCTTCACTTAAAATTATGCTTTAAACAAAATGCTTGCAATTTAAACATACTTTCAATTCCTCTCCAGACTTGCAGCTTAGTCCTGAAGGTAACACTGAGGGAAGTACTGGCTGTCTCGGTAGGTCCAGTTCCGTTGCAGTCTTGGGCAACTGTGTGGTAGGTTTAGTTTTAAAAAGCATGCGGAACATCTTATATACTTTTACACCATAAAATCTTTGCAGTGTGCCATAACATTAGTAGAAAAAGACTCTAAAGGGCCAAAAGAGGGTAAGATAAAAGGGGCAATATCTTAAAATCTGATGATGACGCTCTCCCCATACTCATAGCTCCAGACCTAGAACTGAGTTAATCACTGGCATACATGTATTTCATGAAACTATTGAAAATAACATCCAATAATATATCTTTGTCCTCCAGCTAGAAATGGTTCTGGGCATATGCTGTCTGTCATATTCACGCAGTGCCTGGTATACGGCACCCTAACCTCTGCTGCTACGATGTTAAGAAATTTGCTTTTCCCTTGATCTCATTGCAGAAAGGTAGAGTCATAAAGGGAGGTGTGCTAAACTCAGAACTGAGTTGAAAATTATGTAAGTGGTAGGGAAAATATGCGACCGTCAAACATTTGACTAAATATTTTGTTTTGACTGCAGTACCTGCAATGTTTGAATAACAGTCCAAGATGACGTTTTATGTTAGTATGCACAAAATAGTCTTCTCACATCCAACTTGGTCTCCTTCTCTTAGATTTTTGAATAATTCAGAAATAGTCAAAGTGTATGGTTTTGCTTTTGTGAAAATAAATGAGATTGACATAGGATTTTGTTACACTTCTACATTCCTAATCTAATTCACGTTTTTTGATAGGTTTGAATTTATTTTCAAATGAGCTTTGTACTTTTAAATATTTTAGTCTTTATTTGCCAGAAGGAAAGCACTAATGCAAGTATGAACTTTATACTTTGTGGAAAAGAAAATGTCTGAAAAGTGTTAAAATTAAACTAGAAAGTGCTAAACTGGCTCTTACCCAACTTAATATTGTAAGTTTATTGGAGTCTGCAAAGACAGTTTACAGGGTTTGAAGAAGAAACAAGTGGAGATGAGTGACCACGGGAAGTATGAGATTGTAGAAGTGCCTCCTCCCAGGTTAGCAGCCAGCAGGGGCCAGGAAGCTGCAGTGGTGGCAGAAGGATGCTGTAGTGAAGGTTGCTAGGCTGCTGTGAGGGAAGCACTTACAGAGCACTGCTCAGCTATGCCGAGCATTTTTACTACACAGCTGCTAAGTAATCTGTGTGTGTTTGTAGTACTGCTGTTTTCCCGGCTACCGGCCGGAAAGGGAAGTTTGAACTGCTAAGAAACATTGTCCCTTTGTAGGATGAAACTTGGTGACATGCCAGTTACTACCTTTTGCAAGACTGTCTGTTTTTCGTTTCGGTCACATTGACTGACAAGGAATGTCAGGAATTCTGCTGAGCATGTTTGAAATCAAATAGCAAACAATAGGTCTTTGATTCAAGTATAAAAGTATAAAAACTCTTGCATGATTTTAACTTGTTCTGGTGGTTGACTGGTGAGCTCTTGGTTTGTACCATTTTGGCCTTCATTTTATCTACTCTGTGTTAAGAAGCTTGCTGGAGGCAGAGTGTGGGTTCTCCTTTTTCATCTGGGTTTGATGTAATTTTTGAAATATTTTAAGAGTGTAATTAATCTGTACCAGTAAAAATGATTTATTGCAATTGCAAATGCAAGGTCATCAATTTTTTTCCTCTATAAGGGAAGGGAATTCTTCATCTGCTTTTTTAATAGTGGATTCCCAGTACTGTGTTTTGCTGTATGTACAGTTGGAAAACACGTGCATTTATGTTTCTTCTTATTTGTAATTTAACCTTTGATCCATGTCCCAGGAGATCAGCTTTAACTTTCTGTTAAAATAACAGTTACTACCACAGACAGCAACAGAGGAACTGAATATGGAATTAAAATGATGGTTTGTTAATAGCAGTTCCTTTGTGTCTGTTGTCTTTACCCTGTGAGCTCTAACACAACAACCCAGTTTTGTGAAGGTGTATTACGTGTTGTGTTACGAACAAAGCAGACACTGAATGCACACTGTAGGATGCAACAGCAGAAAAAAGATAATTTACTCTCTAACATCTGTGAAGGCACTGTGGATATAATGTAACATGGATTTGACCCAAGTCCAGTATCCTGTTGCCAGCTGGGGACTCCCAAGGCAAGCTAACTCCCTTGGTGTATATAGTCTCCCAACTTGTACTGATTTGTGGCCCAGGGATTTCTTGAACTTAAACCCACTTTTTTGATATAAATGGTCTTTATTAACTTGTCTTTTGTGGATTTGTGTAGGTGCTTTTTAAGTCCATATAAGATAAAGGTACTCACATACTATGCCAAGAATTCTAAAGTTCACCTACCTATATGTGTTGTGTGAATGATTGCCACGTGTTTGATTCTTATCTGTTAATTTTGCTCAGTGATGTCTGTTTCTTGTGTTGAGAAACTATGAACAATAGTGATACAGATTCTGTTCTCAGATGTTTCTTTTCCTGGGGAAAGACTCCTAGTCCTTGTAGCTGTGGATAGGCTGCTTTGAGCACCCTGGTTGTGTCCTTCTCCATGCCTCTTTAAGTTCTGTTATATACTTTTTGAGATGAGGAGCAGCCAGGATTGGGTACAGTATTAAGGATATGTACAGTATTAAGGATGGATTTTAACCAGTGACATATGTCCCGCTTTCTTTTCTTTTATAAGAATTCTTAACATTTGTTTTTGTTTTACTACTACTGCTATTTTTATTGCTTCAGAATCTCGTTCCAGAGTTATGCCTTTTTCACAGCTTATAATAATCTGTGGAATGTTAGCATTGTGGGCTTTCTTAAACTTAGGTGCTGTACTTTACATCTCTTTACAGTTGTTGTTGTTATTATTTCTTGTGGTAGTTTAATCTAGTCACACAATTGCATCAAGAATGCATGACACTGTAGGTATTTCTTTCTTTTATAAATTAGAATAGCTTAGAATTATCAAAAACCTTTTTCATGTTTATAAAAATTGCAATAATATTTTCACAACATTTAAAGTATACAGTTATCTGTGCAGTACAAATTGTATGCAGGATTAATAACAGGACTGGATATTTTTATTTGGTTCGCATCACATTAATTTACAAATTCAATCTTTTGCAGTTTTGTTGCTAGAGAAGATGGAACACGATGACATTTGTAATAAAACTCTGAAGATTACAGACTTTGGTCTGGCTAGAGAGTGGCACAGGACAACTAAAATGAGTGCAGCAGGGACTTACGCATGGATGGCTCCAGAAGTTATCAAGTCCTCCATGTTTTCTAAAGGAAGTGATATTTGGAGGTAAGAAGTTTGTCTGCTGAAGACCATGTTCAGTAGAACTATGTCGAGGTTTTTGAATTAATTTTTATTTGGATGTTTTTTGGTCATTTCCTAAGTTATGATGAGAAGAGCTGTCCTAAGAAACATACTCATTTCTCAGCATCTAGTTCATTTGATCTACCTTTAGTTGTTCATGACTTAGAAACTGGGGGAGAGGAAAAATAATAGAAAATTTTTTATTCTATTTTTTTTTAAGAAAGCAAGATCTCATGAAGAAAAGCTTTTAAAATACCTATTGGTTAAGATACCTAAGTATTTCATTTGGAGTTTTAATATAAACAGCTGTATGCTTTTGATACCTTAACAAATGATTGATCTTGTATTGGTATGTTTACTTTATATTAGATGTCTGAAAAGTCTCATTCTGCGTAAAGAAATTAGACCAGCCACTTATTACCTTATGTCTGATAAATGTAAACCAGAACTTTGCCAAATGTTAACTTAAATTAGTGCTGTTTTTTAGGAATCTAGGATGTCATCATGTGCAAAAGTGAACATCAGATCTAAGCTTTTACTTTTATAGAGATTTTGCTTCCAGTAGCTGAACTGAGGAGAGTGTGTTCAGCACAAAATTGTTCTAACTTGCTCTCTAATTTTAAAGGTGGGGAACTCCCTATGTTAAATTTGTGAATTTCTTGTTAAAGGCATTATTGTGGATCATATAAATAATATGACTCTCAAGACATTATTGTGGATCATATAAATTCTATGGTTTTGAGTGATGTAGTGTAGGGTACATGTACTGTAGAAATGTAACTTAAAGTTTAGTTTTAATTTAGTTCTGTTTTGTGAGTGGGGGGTGGGGAAAGCAGTGATTGCACAATAGGCTCTAAAAGCTGCTGTGCCTCACGCTGAAAAGTCTGCATTTCCTTTTAGAAACGTTTTCTTTCTGAAGAATCCAAGGTAGCTATTTTGGGAAGGAGGGGAAGAGTTTAATCTGTTCTTTTATGCCTTCTTAAGCATGCGCTGTGTTGTATAATTCTTCAATAGGGTCCTATTTTGCTTAGATGTCTGATATTTTATAGCATGAAGTAATACTTTTGGTATTCTCAGATTGATTCTGTATCTGCTGTTTCGTGACACCCATTTGCCTTGTGTCTGGAAATGATTTTCAGCATTTTGTTTACATCCATCTGAGTTGATGCCCAGTTGAGAAACATCTTTGGCTTCATTCCTTTTTTTCCATTCTTTCTTCCTTTTTTCTTTGTTTTTTTTTTTTTTTCTTTTGCGGGGTGGAGGTTGGGTGTAGGCGTTACCCTAATCAGCTGTATTCCATGCTTAATTACAGGTCCTGTCCAGTCTTGTTGCTGTGATTTTAGGTATCTGAGGGGGTATGCTTTGGTGCAATTATTTTATAATCTGCTGCAACATTAGTTTACATTTTTGGAACCTACAGTATTTCTCTTCTTCGCCTTCTCTCCTGCACGCCTCTCTTGTAAAAATGTAAGTATTTAGCTCAATGATGGACATCTAACAGGAGAGGTTTTTAAGTAGAAAGGCTGTGTTGTACAGTATAGTTTAGACCTTCTTGGCTTCTGAAGATTTTCTGCTTACTGCTCCTTGATCTATTCTATTGCTTATCTTTACTCTTTTTTTAAAAGAAAAGTAAATAAAGAATACCCTGCTTTATGGGAGTGGTTTTTGTTTCAAAAAGCATTCAGGTTACAAATTTAAGTATGGGTCCCTCTAAGACAAGAACACAGTATATGTCAGGAAAGTTCTGAACTTCAGTTACACTTACTGAGTACTGAGTCTCCAAAGGAAGTCTGTGGACTTCTTATTAGAAGAAAGAAAAAAAAAATGGGCCAGTGCTCAGAAATGTTGTAAGAGTATTTTAATGCAAAGGCTTCCAGGCTGCAAGTGCTCTGGTGTCATCCTAGATAGCGCAGCTGGTACTTTCTAGGCCCTGTGTATGTATCCTATGCTTCCCAAACCATAGTAATAATTACTGCGTGTATTATTCTTTGGCATATTCTTCCAGATTCCCAATCAAGAGTTCCATTCCTTCAGCCCTTCCCTTCCATTTTTTAGTGGTATTTCAGTCTTGGTTTTGTGTATGGAGACTGAAGGTGCAAATATGCCCACGGATTTCCAAGTGCTGGTGGTGTGCCTCAGTCTTTACAGTAGCACGTGTGTCTGATGTACAAGCTCTTGGCAAAGTCAGGGAGTACTTACTGTATGACAGAATTAGCAGCTGCTTTTCCCTGGTACGTTCATATAATTTTGGAGTGATTCATGTAGCAATGCGTAGTAACGTCTACTTCAGAAGATTAATTGTAGAGTAAAATAAACTTTGAGAACTTCTAGTTACCTTCATTTTGATCAGCTTTTAAAATATGTAAAAACAGCAATTTATTGCTGGAATGAGATATAGCAAGGCTTAAATCACATTTGATGTCTCTAGAATAATTTTTAAAAATGAAAATACTCAGAAGGACTTTTTGAAGGTGCATTAATTTTCATGGCTTAAAAATGTATAATTCAAGCATATTAGGCCTGTACTTCTGGCCTTCTGTTGAAGATGGAAAATGAGGTGGTCTTTGCTCCTTTAAAAAAAAGCTGTTTCTTAGAAGCTCTGATTGTATACGTGGGACAACTGTACATGGGTTGGTTAAATTTAATGCACAAAGTGGCTACTTCTGTAGCTGAGAAAGTTAGTAAGTAGTTGTTGTCCTAGATAATGATTAGTACCTCCCAAAAACTGCAGCATGGCAAGATTAAAATGTCTTTAGGGTTCCTCCCCACTCTTCTCTCCCCACAGCTCTTGGTACTTGGTATTAAGACTGCTTCCTATAAAGGAGGTGCTTTCAAGCTATTACTGTGTTGGTCTGATTAAAATTTTACAACCACCTTCTTGGCGCTGTTGAGAACTACTTAGGATTAGAGGCTTGAATGGAAAACATAACTAAACCTAATAGTGTGTCAACTTTTTGTAGAAGATTATTTCTTTTTAGTTAAACTTACCGTTCTGCTTAATTTCAGAGTTCATGCTTAAACATGTATAGATTAGTCTGAACAAGAGAATTCCTTGAATTAAGAACAGTCTACGCTTGCTGAGAGAGCATGACGTTATTTTTGTGCTTTCTCTAAGCACACAGATGAGATGTAGTTGGGTAGAATTCCTCCATCACACATAAAATGTGTATGTACTGGAGGAAATGTTGTACTCATTGTCAGAAGTACCACTGATCTAAAACAAAATTGGAACTAGTTTTATCCTCCTTTGAGTATACAAGCAAGTGCAGAGATTAGATTGGGAAAAATGAGAGGAAATTATTAAGAAGCCCAAGACTATAGTCTAATATTCTACTTTCTATTTTTCAGGAGTCAACTGAATTCCTCAGCTTTTGATTAACTGTTAGCACTATACTATTAGTTTTCTAAGATGTTATGATAGGCAAAATTTCTTAGATAAACAGAACATAGATAAACAAAACATTGCTGATACCTGTGCTTATATTGCATAGTTTGCTGTCTTATTTATTAAAGTGATGTTGTAAGATCTTGTATAATGCTGAATTACTTGTTTTCATTAAGGAGAGAGTGATAGAAAAACTTTAACAGTCTGTGTTCTTCTCCCTGTCTCATCTGCTGTAGTTTTGAGGTGGTATTTCTAGTACAAAGGGGTTCATAGCAAGGGAAGGGGTATATAGAATCACAGAATGTATTGGGTTGGAAGGGACCTTTTAAAGACCATCTAGTCCAACCCCTCTGCAGTGAGCAGGGACAGTGTTACCAGATCAGGTTGCTCAGAGCCCCATCAAGCTTGACCTTGAATGTCTCCAGGGATGGGGCCTCCACCACCTCTCTGGGCAACCTGTTCCAGTGATCTATATGTAGATACAGCCGTTACCTCCCCAGTGTTGTATACATTCCTCCTCCTGTAGGAGAGTTCAGTCCAGTCCTGCAAAACTTGCAGATAGTTTCTTCACACACCTGCAGAGAAAGAGCAAGAGCAATACTTTGTATTCTGTTTTTTCCTTTTGTCTGCTCACTTTACTATTTGAAAGCCGCAATAGGTTGTCCTTTGTATCCTAGTTCTGCAGAGAGTGGTTCCCTGGCAGGAGGAAAAGCAACAAATCCAGTCATGAAGTCCACATTAGGCTTACATTTTAAAGAGAATAATTCCTATTTCTACGAAAATGACTGTGAAAGCTACCCATTTCAGTAGTAGTGGAAGAGGAGCTCTAGAGTGAGAGCAGCATATGTGCTGTCCCAGCCCTTTGTAGGGACTTGGATCATTTGAGGAAGCCAAGCTTTGGGCACACAGACCCAAAGAAGGTAAAATCAACACCCACAGCTCCTCTTCTAGAGTGGAGAGCATAGCAAAAATTCTTACAATTACTGCTGCTGCAATAGGAATTGCTGTGATTCTCGATTTCTGTACCTGATGCTGAGAAAAGATCTCTTCACACCACCAAGTTTCACTGGAGACAGCGTTGTTTTGTTTAGGTTTTTGGGTTTTTTTTTAGTATGGAGAAATTAGTTGTGTGTAGTCATTTCTCAGTCTTGTTGCATCTTCTGTGGGAAGTGAAAAGTTAACAAGCCTTTATATAACACATGAGATTAGAAATGCAAACTTCCAAGCAAAGCTGGTTTTTTTCTGTTTGTTTTTCATTTTATTTTATTTTATTTTATTTTATTTTTTGGTAAATTATTGTGACACGTTTGGAAAGGGGCGTGGCCTGAATGCTCTTCTAAGGTTGTGTTGGGTTTTTTTTGTATGTTTTGGTTAGTTTTTGTTGGGGAGAGGGTTGCTTTATTTCCTGTTGTTCAGACTTCTGATTGTGAGATTTACATGATACTAGCATTTCTATAAAAGAGACTTCAGGCTACATTTTGAATAGGAGTGCAATCCAGTCTTAGTCGCATCCAGTTTGGTTAATTGCTATAGTGGAAAGGTGCAAGATGACTCAAGTAGAGCTAACTCTTTAAACACATTCACGTTTGACATGGGAAATCCTCATGAATTTCAGTGCATGTCTGGACAGATGCTTGTTTGTTCTTGAGGAAACAGTGTGTCAGTATTCAGAAAATAACCGTTAAAAATAATGCCTTTTGTAGTTACGGAGTGCTGCTGTGGGAGCTGCTTACAGGAGAAGTTCCATACCGGGGCATCGATGGCCTTGCTGTGGCTTATGGAGTTGCTGTCAATAAGCTTACCTTGCCCATCCCATCCACCTGCCCTGAACTGTTTGCAAAACTAATGAAAGGTATCTATGTTGTTTCTTCCTATTTCATTAGTTACATTTTGGGGTTACGTATCCTTGCCTGTAATAGTCATGGCATTGCAAAATAAACACCTCATTTGATAACGTGCTGGGTGCAAAGTATTTTGGTTTTTGTTTTCACAGCAATCTGGTGTTGCAGACAGTTGAATGTGTTTATGAGGAAGTCATGCAGTATTACAGTGTACTGCTTAAGTTCTTCAGTAGTGACACAGTACTTTTTTTTGCTCTGGTTTTACTGATTTCCTTTTACACTCAAGCTGCATTAATTTTCATAAACTACAGGATATACTACAGAACATTAAGATTAAAATCCCAAGGGGAAAAATGACAAATGCCATTTTTTTTTCCTCATATTTTTTCTTCTTTAGTGTCAAAAATGTTTTGGAAACACTTTAGAGAGAAATAAACATTGCTTGCTAATGGCTTTTTCCTTGTGTTTAATGAATTTCTTTACCTATTATGTGCAGTAATGCTAGTTTTGCTATTAAAGTTAAAGGTGGGAAAAAAATTACTGAGACACTCCTCTGAGTACAGATAGGTAGATGTCACTCCTTTAAATGGAAAAGGAACGAGGTAAGCCTTACAGATAAAGGGAACATGTTAGAACTTGAAGTACATTAGCAAGTAACTTGAAATTAATGTAGTTCTTCAGTAGGTTCTGTGTATTATTAAAAACTGATGGGATTTTGATAAATTCTAGAATGCTGGGAGCAGGACCCTCATATCCGACCATCGTTTGCCTTAATTCTTGAACAGCTTACTGCCATTGAAGGGGCAGTTATGACTGAAATGCCTCAAGAGTCTTTCCATTCCATGCAAGATGACTGGAAATTGGAAATTCAGCAGATATTCAATGAATTGAGAACTAAGGAAAAAGTAAGTTGACTTTCCTGATTGCATGACAGTGAAGGAAAGGTATGTGTGTATGTGCATGTATGTGATACGGCAGTTTTGAGCTTTTGAGTTGTGGCTTACCAATATAATACTAGAAACCTAATTTAGTAGTGGAGACATACTTGAGAGGATAAACTACTTGGAAGACAGGATTTACTCTCTCGTTATTAATTTTAGTTGCCTTAGTTGATGGATGTACTATTCTTAAATTCAGTTAATGTTTCTGGACAGTATTTTAAGATAACCCTGTAACTGTCTTGCAGCAAACTTTAGAAAAAAGGTTTGAATGCTGGTTTTCTAAAATTTCAGACAATGTTGCCTTTCCCTTTTTCCTTTAACAAAAACAGTAAACAATTCTGTATGCTGAAACTATAGGTAGAATTATTTCAGTTGATGTAAAATGTAAAGTTTGATAGGAAGTGTAATGCTATTGTAGTGAGGGAGGGTTATCATGTGAATGACTCATTCAAGAAGTACAGGCAGTTGAAAAAAAACATATTCACACTTGTCTCCCTAAAGAAAACAGGTTTTAGATCTGTAAATGTGCCATGTTGGCTCTTTTAAAAACATTTTTAAATTGGATATTTGAATGCATCACTTAACAAACAAACCAGAGTTTATTTACCTCTTACCTAATCTTTATAACCACCACAAATTTTCAGCTACTGCTGAACATTCTCCTCAGTGTTGGCAATGAAAAGCTTTTCATCCTGTTATATGACTGTATTATGTGGCTTCTTTTCTAAAAATGGAATAGTGCTTTTATCTTTCTTCTTCTTGAATATGTTTATAATATTGATCTCCTTCAGTGCTGCAGTTTTAGAAATCTGCTTGACAGATATTAGTAAGATCAATTAGGTCAAACTTGTACTCATGAATCAGCAAATTCAGTTTATCTTGTTTGTTATTATTTCCTCAAGGATTTGTACTGGGTCCACCTCTGTTCAATATATTCATTAATGACCTGAACGACAGGACAGTGCATACCCTCAGCAAATTTGCTGATTATGCAAAGCTGGGAGGAGTGGCTGACACACCAGAAGGCTGTGCTGCCATTCAGTGTGACCTGGACAGGCTGGAGAGTTGGACAGGGAGAAATTTAGTGAAATAGAACAAGGGCAAGTGTAGGGTACTGTATCTGAGGAAGAACAACCCTGTATATCAGTACAGGATGGGGGCTGACCTTCTGGAGAGCAGGGGAAAAGGACCTGGGTGTCCTGATGGGCAGCAGCTGACCATGAGCCAGCAATGTGCCCTCATGGCCAAGAAGACCAAGGGCATCCTGGGGTACGTTAAGAAAAATGTGTTTCCAGTAGGTTGAGGGAGGTTCTCCTCCCTCTCTACTCTGCCGTCATGCGGCCACATCCAGAGTATTGTGTCCAGTTCTGGGCTCTCCAGTTCAAGAAGGACGGGACCATTGGAGAGAGTCCAGCACAGAGCCACTAAGATGAGGGGACTGGAGCATCTCCCGTATGAGAGAGGATGAGAGAGCTGGGTCTGTTTAGCCTGGAGGAGACTGAGGGGAGATCTCATTCATGCTTATAAATATTTAAAGGACCAGTGTCAGAAGGATGGGACCAGACTCTTGGTTGTGCCCACCAACAGGACAAGGGCCACAAACTGAAACACAGGAGGTTCGACTTAAATGTAAGGAAAAACTGCTTTACCATGAGAGTAAATGGACCAGGCTGCCCAGAGAGGTTGTGGAGTCTCTTTCTCTGGAGACATTGAAAACCTGCCTGGACGCGATCCTGTGTGATCTCGTCTAGGTGATCCTGCTCTGGCAGAGGGATTGGACTAGATGATCTTCAGAGGTGCCTTCCAACCCCTACCATTCTGTGATTATCCAGATTCCTGTCATTGATGTTCTTTCTCATATCATGATATGTTTATGCTAAAAGAGTGCTCACTGTTAATTCTCTTTGCTCTCTCTTTTGGTTACTTCAACTAGTTTTTAATCATTTTCTTTTAGACAACTTGATAAAGATAACAGTTGGAATAGGCCAGTTGTCCTCTTGAGCCCCTGTTAGACTTGCTTCTAGTAGAAACAGATTCCTTCTTTACAGGTCTTTGTTACTGTATAATTATTGCCCAGTATATATTTGTTGTTATTTTTCATGAAGTGGTAACAGATGGGGAAGAATAGAATCTAAATGCAGTGACTTGTGAAGAAATCTTTTTAAAAGATGTAGTCACATAACTTTGACAAAAGCAAAAACTAAACTTTCATCTTGCAAGTCACTGTCAGCAGCCTTTGTTCCTCATCACTTCTCATGTCACAAATGGCTATTTGTGGACTACTGGCTACTGATGGGTGTGACGTTGCAGATCTATTGTGATATCAGCATATGTGGTATCAGAATTTATTGATCACACCACTAAGATTGTAGTATCATCATCATAGTCTTATGTACTTCCTATCTGCCTTTTCCTCCACCCTCTGCTTTTCCCTCTTCCATTTCTGTTTACAGAACTGGGTAAGTCTTGCCTGCGTAGTCCCTGCCCTGCCTGCAGTGGGCATACAGGTTGTCAGAGCTGTGCTGTGTGCCTCTGTAGCAGTTAGATCTCTTCCTTTCCAAATGCATTACAGTCACTCTACAGAGAGTAGACACTTTCCTTTTTACTTGCTGTGGGCTCACCAACCACTGCATTTACTTGCCACAACCTGCCATAGGGTATAACTCTTTTCTGCCCCTCTAGCAAATGCTAAACCAACCATTTTCCCTTTAGCTCTGGGAGCAATTGTCACAGGCATTCCCATTCCAGTTTTTGTTTATTTTTGTATTTTCTAGAGGTATTAGTCCAGTGTGAGATTTCCTATTGAAGAAGTATCTGACTAAATCAAGTTTAGGATTAAATAAGTTGGCACAAAGCTTTGGGAGAAGTCATAATTTTGGTGTAAAAGTTAGTTAAGCTTAATTAGGGAGGAGAAAAGATAAAATGGAATTTACTCCTCCTTACGTGCCAAAATAAATGCATCTCCAAAGGCATCTGCTCTAATTAGCTAAACCTGTTTAAGAATGAAAGCATGTAGCTTTGACTTAGTCAAGGTTTTCATACGTGTAGGCTTATGTAATTTGGCACAGTATCAATTTTACTGGCAGGTACTCAGGAGAAAGTAATGCCTATGAAGTATTTCTGTAATAATAATAGTAATAATAATACAGGAAACAAACAAACAAAAAATCCTGCATGGAGTCACATGACCTGTAAAAGAGGAACTTTTGTAGCTGGAGGAATTTCCTCAAGGGCTTGCTGTAAATGAGCAGTGGTGACGCCCACTCCCAAGAGAAGATCACAATCTTCTTTTGACAGATGCTCTTGAGCAACTAAAATATAGAATTCTTCCTAGCTTTAATTGTAGAGTGGTGTAAAAACATTGCATAACTAATTGCAGTAAGTCTGTTTTTAATTAGTTTATTTGGAAAAGAGTAAATACTTATCCTCTCAGTGTGGGAACACTATTACTTTTTCTAGACTGTCCACTTTTTCAATAGAGGCCCTCAGTTTTTGCTTAGTTACTGAGATTTTTGGAATCTGACTTTAAGGATGAGAGATGGATAATCAACAATATTGATTAATAATCAACTGTATTGATACAGTAAGAAATATATTTTCTATGTGAACTCGGAAGTACTTTAATCCTAAATTTGAATTCACGCAGCTTCTCCTTCCAGCTTTTTTTTTCATGTTGTCCGGTTTTAATAGGATGGGAGGAGGAGGGAAATGAGAATTTACAGCGGGTTAGACTTGGGGATTCATTTACCCTGAAAAATTAACTAGCTTCCTTACTAAAACTTTTCATTCTCCAAAGCAGAAAAGAATAAAGAGAAAAGAATGACTATGCTATGGAATTGATGGCTGGAGAGTCTGTGTGGTGTAACTCAGTGGCTATTAGCTGTTTGATGTTATACAGATACCTGCTAGATTTTAATTAAGAAACATCTGTCTTCTGTTGTATGACTTGGTTTATCCTGTTACACCAATCCTCATTTGATGTAATACTGATTTCTTTTTTAGATAGAAAACTACTACTTAGTACGTGGCTGAAAAACAGGAAAGACTAGAAAATTTAAGATAAAGGCATTCATTAGTGTATTCGTCAGGTCATTGACTTTGTTAGTGCATAGGAGCTATCTAAGAGCAGCACTTATGCTATGAGAGTCTCTGATGTGATGTACTTTGAACACATTTTCTGCTAGGTTGTAAGCTGATAATCTTTGATTGGATGTGTTGCTCCCATTGCCAGTGCTTACCTTCCTTAAGTAAAGTGGCTCAAGTTAAATGGTTAAAAGGAAATCTGTAGAATGCTTGGTTGCATCTGGATACAGAATCTTGGTTTATGCAGAAAGGAGGCCTGTCAGAAGGTCATATGTGCGTGTTACATTTATATAGTACCTCATGGAAATAGGTAAGGAAATATGACCTACTGTGCACTTGATATATCCTTGAATACAGCCTTCAGATTATTACTTAGTTTCACTTGTGTGAATCTTTAGGAGCTTCGATCACGAGAAGAGGAGTTGACAAGAGCAGCTCTTCAGCAGAAGTCTCAAGAAGAATTACTTAAGCGCCGTGAGCAACAGTTAGCAGAACGTGAGATCGATGTACTAGAACGTGAGCTGAATATCATGATATTCCAGTTAAATCAAGAGAAACCCAATGTAAAGAAGAGGAAGGGCAAATTTAAAAGAAGCCGGTTAAAACTTAAAGATGGACACAGAATTAGTTTGCCTTCAGGTTTGCAATTTTTTTAAAAGTTCGCAATATATGTTACAATTAAGTATGCAGGCTACAGTTCCATGATTGTTTAGTCTTGTCTACCGTTTTAATTCATTGCCAGGTGCTTCTACCCTAATAGTATAAAAGGATACAGTAAGAACTGTATAGCCTTTTTTACTATCACACAAGATTTTCCTGTGGAGCAGTCCTCATTTCAGCTGGAAGAATATTTCACCTGATTCAGTCCATTGTATTTGGAGGGAAATGTGTCTAGCATGGGAGCCAAATGATTCAGAAGTTCAGATTTTTGCTATCATCCTTTTTGTGCAGTTAGAAAAGTACCTTTTCATCACAGCCCAGAACTTTCTAACAAGGTTAAATATTAGTGCTGTTTGCCCTGAACTTGCAAATACATAGTAGAAAAGCAGCACTTTGTAAAGGCTGGAAGTACAGGGTTTGTAGGTCCAAATTGCATGCTTATTGCAATCGTAAATATAACACAGCAGTTACAATCTTTGGTGCCTTACTTCTCTCAAGAAAACACCTGTAGTAGAGCAGAAGATATTATTTCAGAATACAAATGTGGTATAATTTCAATGGCAGAGCATTTAATTCCACCCATGAATGCATTAAAATGCCCCCTTTGCAAAGAAGGTGTGTTTGTAGAGAGTCAGGGTATTTTAGTGTGACTGGTTTAGTGACACCTTTTTAATGTTGCCACGAGAGGGCATTATGGAAACCCATGATTATGCCAATAGTTGGAAAGCCATCAAAAGTGGTACCAGCATCCTGGGGTTCATGGGCTTCCTTAGAGTGGCTTTCAGGTCAAGTCTCACAGTTTATTACTAATGCAGTAAGAACTTAATGCCATGCTAACACAGGTGTGACCAAATCATAGCTGTTTGGTAGTTGAAAGGACACAAAGAGGTCAGTACTATTTAGACTACTATTTCAGCACTAGTGAAAGATACTTATTTTTCCTTAATTTAAAATATTAATAACTGTAAATCAAATAAAAAGCGTGCTACAGCCTCCCAGGCAAGCATGTTAGATTGGTTTCATAGAACCATAGCATGGTTTAGGTAGGAAGGCACTTTAAAGATCATCTAGTCCAACCCAGCTTATGCTGGATCATAAGCTTAAACTGAGTATTTGGTCCTTTGTTTCCAGTCCTGTTCATATTTAACTTGAAAAAGTGATTAAATGAAGAGTTTTATTCAGAATCCCACTTAGCTCTTTACTGTCAAGAATCATTCAGATGAACTTGTCCTTCAGACAATTCTGTTGTAAGAATAGCATACAATCTAATTGCACTGATCATGGGGATTAGAGAGGGGCATATTGTCAAATTTTATTTCATAAATTTTTTCTTACTTGCCAATATTTGTTGGTTTGGGGTTTTTTGTTTGTTTTTTTGCTGTTTTTAAATTAGGGTGGTTTTTTTTTTTACTACATTGCTATAAATATTTGTAATTCTGTAGTTTGTCTCTTTTTTTTCTGACATGTTGATAGATGTAACTTCTTTGTTAATGCCAGTTTTTATGTTGTATATGAATGAGATGTTAAAAAAACAAGGCAAATATTGCCATGAATATTTGAGATGAAATACTGATATTTTTCTTTCCATCTGTGACAACCAGCAAGACTGAATGCCAGCTAGTGATGTGAATGCATCTCAGTTTGGGTTCACTTAGACCTACCTGCTTTTGCTGATCTTACTACAAACCTATCATACAATGTCTGTGAAGCTGTGAAATCCTGCCTGTTTGACTCAGTGTCTAAACTGTTAAATTAAGAGTTAGAGTTGTCAGTGATTTTAATATGAACATCTCTTCACTATTTAAGTCTAATTCATTATATAGCTTCAATTGTTTTTAGAAGTACAGCAGTATAATCTCCTGAAGAATTTTTATTTAGAACATTTAAACTGATCTGGTTTTACTCTTACAGATTTCCAGCACAAAATAACAGTGCAGGCATCTCCCAATCTGGATAAGAGGAGGAGTTTAAACAGTAACAGCTCTAGTCCATCAAGTAGCCCCACAATAATTCCTCGTCTTCGAGCTATACAGTGTGAGTCTCCACCATTTCATTTGTTAATTTGGTTAATAAAAACTGTTTGTTCTATATACTCATCGAAAGACTGGTAGTAGTATCAGATTCCAGACAGATTTCTGCGTGCTTTTCAGGTCTGTTAAGTTGTTCTAACATTTGCAACTTGTTCTTTGATGGGAGGGACAATCTTGCTTAAATACGAACTCATTTTCAGTAATTCAAAATGATTGGGACTGCTTTAAATCATATTTTTCCTTAACAACTTTGGGAACTCAATTGTAAACTGACTGGGATAAAACAATGAAGAATCAAGATTTATAATGGCAAAAGGCAAAGAATCATTTTTAAAACCAATGTAAGATGGAAAGCAAGTTTTTTTAGGTACTGGAGTTGATAAAGGAAATCAGTTATGGACTATCAAGAAAAAGAAAAGAAGAAGAAGGGAAAGAAGAAAGATTCAGAGAGTAAGGGAGACATGTAAAATGCACAGGTCAAAGAATCAGCCAGCAACCCAGCTTGTGTATGTCAAAAAAGAAGGAAGCTTTAGGCAAAGACAGAACCAGAAGAAAAACAGAGATGAAAGCTTGCTTCAAGTTTTTTGAAAACAAGAGAAAGAAGCAAAAATAAAATTGTGGGTACAGTTGTAGGTCTACATTGTTCCATGTATACTGATGACAGAAGAGAAGGTGTGTTCCTACTCATGTAGTGGGGGGTACCCTGAATATGGAAGAAAACATATTGTTACAATGAAGCCCACATTTGTATTTGGGAATGAAAATACGTAGAGATAGAGAAGAATTCCTACAGGATTCACTGCTTGCATTTGTACTGTCTGATCTATTGTGTAAAGCAGATTGTCTGATTATCCATGCTCAGCATGGAATGCCTCAAGTTTCTCTCTATATGAAGTCAGTGGAACACGTTCCAGCTGATTGCTTATGGATGGTGACCATCTTCTCTTGCCAGGGCAGTCACCTCTGAAGGAAATTACTTCAGAATCTCATTTTACCAGACGTAAATAAGGAGGAGGGGAAATCAAAATGTGTGGGGATTTTTTTCAACATAGTGTTCTGTAGGTATTTAAAGATTTATTTTTTTAATATTTTTTATTTCTAAGCAGCCTGAAACTTTGTTTAAAGTTTGTATAGAAACCAGATCTCTCATCTCCTTTGGAATACCTCTGCCTTATGAAATACTTTTCATTATTAATGTCTAAAGGAGAAGTGGTGCCTTTCCTGGCAGTAACTTCTATTTGTATGAACTCTAACTGATACAGTTCCCTGGGTGACAACCATTACTACCCATATGTTGTGGATAAAGGAGAGAGGTGGAGAAACCCTGTCTTGCTATTCTTACTGAAAATTCGAGATGTAAAGTATTTTTCCAATGTTAGCTGCACAGTATTTATGTTGATAATGGTTTCCCAACCTCAAACCATGTGCTGTGGTTTTTTTGGTTGGTTATTTTTTTTACTGCAGAAGGGTAAGAAAGATTTATTCTTGGTAAGATGTCATAGTTACGCATAAACTGTCTTGTTTTATCTTTGAATCTCCTTGCTGAGTATGGAAATGCTTGGAAATGAAGCAAGTGTCAGGTATTGGCATGGTTCTGAAAACTTGAGCGATTTTTTTTCTTTTTTTCAATGCATAGCCCTATGTAAGGTATAGCAGTGCCACTCCTCGGATGTGTGCTAAGTGCCACTGGGGATTTTTCTTTTCTTTTTCATATTTGAGCAGGCATTTGTAGTTGTAGAATTAGAACATAGAGGACTATATAAAAGCTGTCGTTTAAAAGAAGTACACTTCTCTTTCTGAGTTTGGATCCCTAGGCTTTACCGAAAAGCTTATCAGATCTCTCAGGAGTATCTAGCTGAAACAATTTAGCTTCCACACCCATCTGCACCTGTGCAAAATAAATTCTCTTTCCCACAATAATGTTTTATCTTGATTTAACTTCAAAGTGTCATTGTTTCAAGAAGACTTGCTCAAATAAAGGTGAACAGGCGTATCTAACAATTGGTTACTTGATTGCTTCACTTTGCCCTGAGTGAGACTAGCTTCCAAATTGAAAAGTTTAAGTTAAAATAAACATCTACTTAATTGTGAATCTTGTTACTAAAACAAATTTAGCTGATTTTTGAAGGGTATTTTAAAGAGAAGAGAAAAAACAGGAAGATATATTCCATAGATCTTGGAATGTGGTTGCAAATGGGAGTATAATGAAGGCAAGTAGAGTGCCATACTACAGGGGAAGATCTGCTGGTGAGGTGGTGTGTGGTGAGACAGGAGGAGAGTGCTGTGCAGTGCAGGAGTGGCAGAACCATAGGCATGTAGATGCCACCTCTTGTATCATGCTGTTAGAACTGACTAAGTTGTTCCTCTCTTGGATCTCTCCATTGTAGCTGTAAGCAAGCTAAGTTGATAGCAGGTTACTTTTGCAGTTAGTCATACATGAAAACCTACCTGCCTGGATCTGGTCCTAGAAAGAGGATCCTCTAAACCCTACAGGAAAAACCTGCTATCAAAAGATGCTTAGTGCCTTTAAATATCTGGGCTTTATCACCCGAAGATAAATATACAAGGGAAACAGTTCTGTTTCTGAAATCAGTTTGACTAAGATGTCTACTACGTTCTTTTAATTTTTCCTCAGTGATTCCCAAAACAGATACACACACAACTAGTGGCCGAAGAAACAGTGTATATGTGTACCAGCAAGATGTAGATATCACAAATGAATATGAACTTCCCAGTGGGGTTATGAAAAAAGGCAAGAATTCATTATGTTTCAAAGGCGCTGGTTCTGTTTAATTTAGCAGTTGAGACAGTGACAGACTAAGCATTTAATGAAGGTTTGACACTTTAAAATTATAATTTGTTTTGGTATAGTGAGAAAGAAAACATTAATCATTCTCACAATTGGAATATTCTGTTTCATTTGATACCAGTGGTTCCACAGCATTTATTTTCTTCATTGGAACTTAAGTGCTCAGTCTAACTCACTTGTCTGATTTACCTAAATATAAGGTTCTCAGTTAAAGGAAGCATGGAAAATATGATTGGTTTGCTGCTTTATCTTTAATTTGGGTCTCTTGTCAGCTCATAAATTATTTTTCTTGCTGTCTCATCTCTTTGGATCAGTGCAGTTTGCATGGTGGTTTTTGTAAAAGAAAAAAAAAATTCTAATTTTGTCTACTCTTCCTTGCCTTACTGTGTCAAAATGTTTTTGCAGTAGACAAAACATTCTGTTCCATCAAAATATTTTTGTTTTGGAAATGCTATTTATGTGTGGGTGGTTTTTTTTGTTTGTTTGTGTCTTTAAATCCAATCTCTAGTAACTTCAGATGAAAGCAACAGAACTTGGGGAAGGAGCACAACTTATCACCAAGAAGAGTTTGAAGATGTGAAGAGAAATTTCAAAAAGAAAGGTTGTACATGGGGACCAAGTTCAGTTCAAACAAAGGATCGTGCAGATTGTAAGGACAAGTATGTCTATTACATTTTGTTTGTTTGATGATACTAAGTGTTCTTGGTAACTGAATCGGTAACACAGGTAATGAGTGAGAGAAGTTCTGCAGTCTCTTGTTACAGCTAAAACTCAGTCCTATCTTTTAATTAATTTAGGAATTATGTTAATAATTACTAGTTCCCCTACATAGGCTTGAGGATAAAATGCTTACTTATCTTAAGGTTTTAGTGGCTCTGACCCTTTATCTGGTTGGGGATTTTTTGAGACTTGGAACATTCTGGGATGCTGAGCTACTAATGCATACCAGGCATTTGTAGCCTCTTTCTTCCCCTTCCTCAGACTGACTTGAGGAACTGCAAGCGTGGCCCCCAGTGGGCACTTCCAGTATGATTGGACTGTCTGTCTTGGCTTACACAAAGCACAATTCACACCAGCAACATCACTTACACTGACAAACACAGCGTGAAAGGGTTCTGAAAACCAGTTGGACGCCTTCACTTTCAGATTATTTTTTCTGATTGCTCGAAACTGAAGACTAGCATTTTGTTCTGAAGCAAGTGATGGTTTTCCTTGTCTCTTCCAGTACATATAACTATTTATAGCACCTTTTTTTCTTGGACATCCACTCATTTACCTGTGGCAGTAGTTGGTTCCAGAACATCTATTGAAACAGGCTTTATGATGTTTTATTTGTCTTAAAGTCACTATGTTTAATAAATTTCCAATATTCACAAAGTCTCTTTGAAACAGTGAAACTGTTGTCCAGGTTTTCACCAACTTTTGTTCTTCAATAAGTAATCAAAGTCCATTTTTCACTGGCTTTCTTTTTAGGCCTGAAATTTTCATCTTATAAGGAATGTTTGATATAAGGGCATTTATCAATTTCTAATCATATGAATCTGTGCTATTATGTACAATTTTTTTATCTTTGGAAAGCTTTACTGTTCTCAAGATATATACTACATGTTTATAGTTTAAAAAGAAAGATGCTTAAACTAATTTTCTGTCAGAGTATATATAAGGATGGTATGCTTTGTAATATCGAAATAAATTGTTGTTTCAGAATAAGACCCCTTTCAGATGGCAGCAACCCTTGGTCAACGCTTTTAATGAAAAATCAGAAAGGTGTTCCCTTAGCTTCATTATTTGTGGACCAAGGTAAGACCTATTTTTGGAAAAGTGAAAGTTGCCATATAATGGTATTAAGTCTATCTCCAGTGTTATAAATTGTATTGCTTGAATTCCTCAAGGATTATGCAGATTATTAGAAGTGTAGTCATGCTACAAATAATTTTTCTGTGCAAAAAACCTATCTGTTAACAAATTGAAGTGTTAACTTCTTTACATTTCCAGCATTAGCAGCTAAGAAATATACATGGTGTGTGAGCAGTACCACATAGAGATTTTTTTTTTTCCATGTTTTGAGTTGCAGGCTGATCTGTAGATAAGACCTGTATTTGCCACTTTTTAGCTTCTTTTAAAAAGAAATATCTAAATCAGTAATTTTCTTGATATTTAAATGATCATTATTGACTTTTATAGTTAGGGGGCTCTGCAGAGTTACCTAAAAACCTCTAAGTCCTGATGTATTCTTAGATATTAGTTCCCTTTTTTAAATTGAGACTTATTCTCTAAATTTTCAAGAAAAAAATATGTAGATTTCAAATCTTAAAGTTGTTTAGGCAATATTTTGGGATTTGCAGGTAAATCACAAGGAGAAACATACTTAATTCTCTTAGGAACAGGAACATAATAGCTGTATGTTGCTTTTTATGTCCATTACTAGAATGTGCTGTGGCGATACAATAGTCATAATGTGGCTATACAATACTACTAATAATTTTCAAATTTGCGCACACTTTCTCTACATTTTCGTCTTTGCATATTCTGGTAGGGGTATAAATCAAGGCTTCACAAATAGCAATTTTATAGATTTCTTGGCTTACTGCTAAACTCCTACATACAGAGAAGATTACGTAAGTTTACATATTACATTTCAAATATTCCTATGTTTATTCTGTAGCATTCAGTTGTTTAGAGTAGATTAACACATGTAAGTCAAACTATACCTTCCATTTTATTTGTCATTAGGTGTGAGATGTAAAATTTAAGTTTTACTCCAGACAACCATGACCTAATGAATGAATTTGAAAAATTTCAAGTAACTCTCTGGATTTTTTGGAACAAGTTTTAATTGAAAGTGCTGTAAAAAATGTGTTCCAGATCTTACCTGGCAGTCTGTGTATAGCAAATTTCTTCACTGTAATTCATACACAGAAATATTTTCTGTTATTTGAAAAGCACTACCAAAGTCTTTTGCAAATCCTCAAATATCACAGAAAATGCAAAGACAATATCTGTTCTTCAATTGTGTTGAGTGCATAAAGGTTGGGAGGTTCTTTATGCCTCCCTTAACATAAAGATAAGTCTTTCAGATACTCAGGAAGATTGATCTGCAAGTTCTAATAGAGTTTGCTTCTGAGTTGCTAAAAAGATGAAATTGTAGCAAAATGGTACTACTTCTATTTTAAACACTATCAAGAGAACGTGATGAGGTTTAGACTTGGGATGTGTTTCTGAATCTTGTGATCAATGTGAGTCTCTGAGCTTCTGGCTGCATCTAAAGGGGGCGTACAGTATACCTCAAGATCACTACTTGTGCAAGTGAAAGGAAATAATAGTGTATGTATGCAGACATGCAGTACTAAAATAGCTGAATTGCAATCTTAAAGAATACTGTAATGTTTTATAGGTGCCTGTACTGATAAGAAACTACTCCCTGAAGGTTTGGACAGTAAAAGACCAAAGCCAATTAAGTTGGCGAATCAGGCCTATATAAATCTACCTCTTTGGAAAGATGATCAGGGAGAGAATACTGTAGAACATGAGAGTTTTGAAGAAGGAACCTCTGCTAGTTCAACAAATAGTACCCCTCAAATGACCCCTACAAACAGTCTGAGCAGGACGCTGCAGAAAAAGAAGACTGATTCAGTGCTGTATGGGTGTGCTGTCCTCCTTGCATCTGTTGCCCTGGGCTTAGATATCAGAGAGCTGAACAAATTGCAGGGTCCAGATGAACTCTTGCCTAAGGATGAGAAGAAGAAGCGTGAGGGAATATTTCAGCGTGCTTCGAAATTTCGCAGAAGTGCCAGCCCTACAAGACTGCAGTCCAAGAAAGAGGAAACGACTATTCCATCCCTAAATCCAGCTGCAAATACTGTGAATCTTCTCTCTATGCCCTCCATTTCCACAAAATGCCTACTTCAACCTGACAGTGAAGATGCGTTTATAAGCACCATACTTACTGATTGTGGTCCATGTAGTTCCACTGATGACTTTTCATCTGAAACCTCTGAAAGTAAGAGAGAACAGAGGATACAGCTGGGTCCTAACACAGTTGCTGCAGGATTAAAAAATCAACATTATAATCTTTGTCTGAAACAAGAATCTCGAAATGTGCCAAACGATTCCTCAAAAAAGTTAAGTGTGCTGGGTCACAGAAGAGCGTTATCAGATGGGAACAATTTTCAGACCACAGGTGGGTAATTAAGAACTTAAAATGTAAGCGATTTTTAAGACTAGAGAGAGAAAATGTAAGGAAACCAACCAATCACTAATCAGCTGCTGAGATTATTATTTTTTTAATTTACACTGTTATGTGTTAGCTGAGCCACCATAACTGTATGTGGGTACGCCCTCTGTGTCTGAACCATGAATAAACTACCTGCACTTGGAACAGTATCTTGTTAGGAGCGTGGGTATGGAGATTTAAGGGGAAGAGATGGTTCATTATAAGGCGATATCTGTTTTTCTCAGGTATTGTAAAAATAGGTTTCCTTGGCCTTTTTATGTTGGTGAGAACCTGCTTTTTTTGTGAAATGTACAATATTAGCATTTTTATGGCTGAAATAAACTGAGACTGGTTCAGGTGCATGAGTTATGTAGTTGTGGACTTCCTGAGACCAAGAATACACTTGTTTAGTATAGTTTCACATTCTACATGGGTGAGTGATTTGAGCATCATTTTAGTACTGCACATTTATTAGCTTCAAGGAAAACGAGTCTGGTAAGCTTTGATTTGCTTGCTTGACCTAGAAGTTATGTCACATGTTCCACAAATCCTTCAGTTAAGCTGTTGATAAAACTTTAAGCTGAAAAACGGTCTTTAAATGTGGTTTCCATGTAAATGGACAAGTTCATGATTAATGAGTTTTTGAAAAGAAGTTCTAAACTTCAATACTGGTGTTCTATGGTTGCTTAAACGTAATATTCTTCATGGTAGTCTATGTAATCACTCATAGTACCTGGACAAATTTGTGGGCTTTATTCCAATATTTATATTCCTCTGGTTACTGGGTGGTTAAAGCTTTCTCTGTATATCTCTTGCAGCAATAAAAGAATAAATTGTTACAGCCTTTAGCAGAGAGCCTTTAGCAAAAATACTATTTGAGCACTGCTGGTCCCCTCTTAGGAGATTCCCCACAGATGTACAAGCCTCTTAGTTTTTCTCGTGGAAAAAAAACCCACTAGTGCTTATGGCAACCCAGCTTTACAAATGGCAAAGAAATCAGTCACATGGTTTAAATTGTCTTTTTTTCTGTCTGGCCTTTCCTTTCCCCTAGCAAATGGATTTGCTTCAACCAATGATGTCTCCATGTTACCCATTCCATCAGTTACCGGAATTCTGCACTCTCCATCTGTTCAAGAACAAAGCAATCACAGAGGTGCTTCAGCCGAAAAGCAAAGTGCTGTCAATATTATATCAAGGCCTCGACCCTCTGCTTTAAGAAGTAAAATTGATGCATGGCAGATTATTCCACGTATTGTTAAACCAAACTCTAAAGACTCTGAACATTTAGAGGGCAATGTAGATCCAGATGTTAACTTCTTGCCAGATACTGAGGAAAGAACTAACTGCCACACGCCCTCATTACTTGATATTGATGTGGAAGGTCAAAACAGAGACTGTACTGTGCCTTTATGTAGAATGAAGAGCAAAACTTGCCGGCCATCTATATATGAACTGGAGAGAGAGTTTCTGTCGTGAGTGCCTTTCAGTTTCAAAATGTTTGCTTTTTAAAGGGGAACAAATATAAAATTCTTGTCCATCTAATACTTTGTGCTGCTGTTTTCCGATGTACTGTGATAAATAGTACCAAAATGATTAAAATGGGCAGCTAATTAAGAAAGTGTAGTAGGTGCCTTTTTCAAATGTTCCTTGGAATCCCAGCCAGTAACTCTAAAAGCACAATGCTGCAAAATAGTATTCTAGGTGAACTTTATAAGCATATTTTGAATGACTAAAATAAGATGCCCACTTCCCTCTGCAGTGCCTCAGAAGTTTTCTTTAGATTTGAGGAGTTATGCTGGAATTTCAACTGTTGTACATTGAAAAAATGAATGACATACAGTAAGGTTGTGTTCCATCAAGAAGAGTTTTGCCTGAGAAGTGGTTATCTGTAGCTTCCCTCAGTGGCCTGTAGAATTAGGGAGTAGGGCAGGTGATTTAAGGTGCTGGTGCAGGAGGCTCTGTTCACTCCTCACTAAGCAGCTGGTTACTTTTTGGCATTTGATACTGAAATTGGTTAAGGACCAGCAGTTGAATTTGCAGTCTTTGCCCTTGGTTTTTGTGAGAACTTTCAACTGCGTGCATTAGTTTCTCCAGAAAGTTAAACTGCTTGTATAAACACTTGTGTTTCAGCCACCGTATCGATTTGAGAGGGTAAACTTTAGTATTGCGATTGGATTGAAGGTATTTGACATACTTTCTGATGTGAAGCAACATTCCTTGTAGGTAAGGATACACTGGAACGTAAATATTTGTACTCCTAACCTTTTGAAGACTACAGTGTTTGCACTGGAAACAATATTCTTGGTTTGGGATTTTATGTTTGTGGTGGAGGGGTTTTCCCCCCCTTCTTGTTTTTTAAACTCTGCTGCACATTGTATTGAGGAAAGATGATGGGTTTTAAGGATGATTAGTTTTGTTTTTAAGTGAGGAACAGTGCGTTTTATTGCACTCACATTTTAAAACTGCAATAATTTACCATTAAATCTTTCAGTATAATCAATGCAACGTTTCTTCTTGAAGTTACTACTGTGTGCCCAGTTATTCGTATCTGCAATTAAAGGACAGAAACAGATATGCTTGACTGGTTTTCAGTGATAGGAAGATTCCAGAAAATTCCAAGTAGTTAATTGTGGGAGGAGGAACATTTAATTTTGATAACACGGATAGTTTAATTTTTTACAGTATCACTAAGTGATTAAATAAAGCTAAATGTACAGTATATTTTCCCTGATGAAAGCATTTATAGAATTAAAGGAACATCCATTATACTCCAGTATTTGAAGTCTTAATTTTGCATATCATTTGACATTTAAATAATCTTCATAAATAAAACTAGATAATGTTAGAATAAAACAGCTGTGTTCCCATCAGAACACTCTTTTGTTAAGACCTTTGTTTTAAATGTTTTCTTCTCCTTTGCTCTGGGAGCAAGGAAACTGGGGGTTCCGTTGTTAAAAGGAATTACACAGCTGCTTGAAGCTTCAAAACCAAGGCATTAAAAAAGAAAGTTTCTGTTCTAAGACTGGTATGCAGTACAGTGGCTATCTTAAGGAAGATAGATAATTCATACATACAAAATCATGAAGTCTTAATAACACAGAGCAAAATACAGAAAATACAACTTCCCAGCTCACAAAGTGAAAATGGAAAAAGAATTTCCTTAAAGTATTAGTTTACCAAAAGTAAAGACATAACCACTAGTTGTTTGTAAAACTAAATGCCTGCACAGCAGGTTATTAAGTTACTACATTTTGTTCAAACCCATTTCTATTTCAGCATTCTTACTACTTTGACAACATGATTCAAGTTGCATACTGTTCTTTGTCTTTTCTTTAACTTCATCAGGACACTTTAATAGATAAAGTCTATTCCAGTTTTAATAGAAACTGTTTTCATAAAATAAAGTCCATTAGGTAATGCACATGGATCAAATTTTAAGTCTAGCTTGATAGCAGATTTATCTTCAAGTCTTAATTAGAATTTTGGAGCATTATATATATTTCAACTCTTGATCAATTATTCCTATGTAATACTGAGAGAAAAGGAGTAGATTGTATTACATGTTTCTGAAGAAAGTATTTATCTGGCTTTCTACAGGAAAATCTCAGGTGCTGAACTATTTTGACTTGTAAACTTCTGTTGAGTTCTGTTCTATACTTTTGACATCTGTGTAATTTTAAATGTTGAATTTTGCACCCTATGTTTTGTAATCAATAGTATCAGTATAAAAAGCCCTTTGTGAGTTGTATTGTTTTCACTTATCAGTGGCTTATCTCTCTGGTAATTAAACAAGAATTTCTATTTCTATTCAGTGGATAATTTTCCATAATAGTGGCACATACAGTATCACCAGCCCAGTGCGTTGTAACCAGTTTAGGAGTTTGTATTCCACCTCTTGAGACAGTTTAGGTAAGCCATCTCAAATGTTTCTCTTATGTGATGCAAGGTTATTTTTAAAGCTGTAGTCTATAGTGCTTTATCGTTGTTTTTATAGTTTAAAATTATAGGCCAGTCTTCACTGAAATTAAAAAAGAGAAAGAAAAAATGTTGCAATCATGGTTTCACAGTCTGTATTTCACTTGTCACCAGAGAAACTTTCTATAAAGGTATGGTAATCTGGTAAGCATTAAGTGATCTGTCTTGGTTAAAAATGTATTTATTTCAATGTAGGTTAATAGCGTGACCAAATAATAAATTATGTTGATTGTTTTAGCATAAAACTGAAGGTGCTTACATTACAAAGATTAAGATAAACACTTGACATGCTGTTTTACAAAACCTGATGATTTAAATGTGTTTATTTAAAAAAATAAAAGTTTTGTAGCTACTGTATTGCGAAGTGACCTGAATTTTCTTGAATTTTTTTAATGCTTTCTTAACACATACAAAGGGGTTCACTGGTGAATAACCAGGGACTATAGACCATGGCCAGCCTGTTCTTGGAACGTTAGAATGGAATTGTTATTTTAAGAATAATTACCCACTACAGGAACATGAACGTTCCTGTAATTTCTTGCAATTGATGTGGGCAGAAACATATGGCATAAGCTTGTGCTTTCTTTCATGTGCCCACAGTTTGTCTTTTGATGCTTTTACAATGTTGGCTGGGTATCTTAGAGGTGGTAGAACAATGGATATAAATAAATTCTGCATGTGATTGAACAACAAGAATACAAGTAAGAAATAACATATTTCAGTTGTGTTTTTGAGCAGGAGGGTTTGTTGTGTTTTTTTCTGTTGTTTTGGGGTGTTTGGTACTTTTTTGTTTGGGGATTTTTAGGCAAATGGAGCCAGTATTTTCCTTGTTATATTTTCTAACATCTTCTTTTGTGAACTTCCCTTTTCCTCCATCATGCCATGGGCGCATTAACCTGTTTTTCAGTAAGGAGACAAGTATCCATTTGCACAGTGGCAACACAGAAGATACAGCAAAGTTGCTAGTGGTGCAATGGAATTCAAAGCTGTAAGCCCAGTCTTTTAAAAACATGCATGCATAGTGCTTTCAGTGAGGCTGGCTAGATAACAAATGTTTACATGGCTTGTAAGCATCAGTATCTAGTCCAGATTATAAACCAAGCTGCACAGGCAGTTTATTTTATACACAGTGTTATAATGGTAATATTAAGATCTGCGCACAGGTGTGTGGTAACAGAAAAGATCCCGTTCTCACTAGCCACCTCCCTTTTTAATATAACTAGTCAGGTCACTACAGCCCATGCATTATGAGAAGCCAATGAGACTCTGTTAACTAGTACATTTTTTGATGTAAGTTGAGGGTGTTTAAGTTTGAAGTATTAGGTATTCTAAACTAAGGCCAGAATACTTGCAAGTGTGTAATAGATTTCTCCCTGAATGTAAGCGAAAATGAGCAAACCAAATACGAGTTAGTAATCTCAGTACTGTTAGAAATCCAGTATTTTCAATGATCTAGTTCATTTGATAAAGTACTTTTCTTGACCAGAAGAAATGTTTTTTATTCTAATAGGCTGGAGAAGAGATCCACAATGCTACACAAGTAGGATGGATTCACTTTTGATTTCACAGAATCATAGGCTCATTTATGTTGAAAGATCTCTGGAGATTAAACAGTCCAGCCTCTTCTGCTAGAGCAGGTTGCCCAAGACTGTGTCCAGTCAAGTTTTGGGTATATCCACAGATGGATTTTCCACAGCTTCTCTGGGAAATCTGTTCCAGTGTTTGACTATCCTTACAGTAAAAACATTTTCTCATGCTTATATTATCTGCAGATTTGCTGAGGATGTACTCTGTGCCAACATCCAGGTCATTAATGGAGATGTTAAACACTATCAGCCCTAATATCAACCCCTGGGGTGCTCTACTGGTGACTAGGTGACATTTTAAGCAAGTTGTAGTTAATACCATCTCATATTTTATTCATGTTATGTAAAATATTTTTCCTAAGTGAATTAGGTAATTGTTATTCTTCAATTACTTTCAAAGACTTTTTTTCCCCATTTCAAAAGTAAAGGCATAATGACCATTCTTACATCTAGGCTTTAGTGAAGTGCTTCCAGTAGTTGAGATCTGGCATGAGGATGGCCAAGTTCATTGCCTCCTAATGTGACTGCTTGTATCTGTTCACAATGTTTACACTTTCCTTTTAAAGTACAGTCACCAATTCAGCCTTAGTGACCAAACTAATCAAACTTAAGTCAAATGTCAAATTTGGTGTTACTCCTTTGAGTGATCACTAATATGGAGACTGGTACTCTGCAACACTGTTGAATAGACTTTTTTTAAAACATTGCGTTATATCTGAGAACATCAGTCTTCCCTTCCACTGCAGCAAAGTATGCAGTTGCAGGGTCTGACAACTTGGATCTCTTATGGCTGCTGAAGACATTCATGAATACTCTGGTCTCCAAAGGGGAGATGGAGAGGGCTCAACAGGGAACTCCTTGGCAGAAAACTGTTAACCCATCTCCAAAGAAAGGTGCCCAACGCAGCCATGCTCACTGTAGCTGCTGAGTTCTTTGCATGCCAGAGAATTTACGTAAGTGCTATGTTGTTCTTTC